GCACTCCCCCCATCATTCACTATGGTAAGATTTTTTTGTTCTGATGATGCCTGATACCTGATCCCTTCAACACCTCGTGATCGCACAGGCTGGTGTGTAAACTGAGATTTTTAAGGATGAATATCTAGCTTGGAAGGGGGCAAAGGCATAGGGGCAACTTGTTCATCATCCTGGAGTGGGAAGGAGTGTTGCTTGGCCATTAAATGTAATGGCTAACGGGGTAGGGTAATAGAGAAGGGGAGAGAGTGTGTGGTTTGTGATAGCCTTTGTGGGCCTACTCAGTACTCTGTCTTTAAATGTTACTACTGTTGGGGAGCAGACAACATGTCTTACCTCTCAGAATTCCTTGAATAATTAATCTGTGATATGGGGTGCACCTTCTTGCTTCCTCCTCACATTGTCTTATAAGGTAGATGCTGTTGTTATTCTCACTTTTCAGGTGAGGTAACAGACACTTAGATGTCCAAGGCTAAAGACAGTGAGACGGTACCCAAAAGGCTCAGGATTCAAGGAAGAACTTTTTAGTTCTAAAGCCGATCTCTCCATATGCTTACAGCACCATTATAGCAGGGCCAGCAAAGAGTACAAGTTCAGCACAATATAAAGAAAATTCCAGCTGTTCAGAAATGTAGCTGGAGAGAGGCACGTGCTTCCAATGCGTATAGTGTTTTCTCCATTGGAAACCAGATGGCTGCCTGTCAGAGATGGAGTGGAAACGAGGTTGTACCCGGTGAACCCTAGGTTCCTCTCTGATTGCAGCAGGGATTTTACTTCATTGTAAGAATGTGTATGCATGTATAATTTTTTTTTTCCTCCCCTTCAGTGACCATGAAAGACACCAGGTTGACATCACTGGAAACGGAATTATCAATTGTCCCCAGGGCAGGTAATGTATAAACTTGGTCCAGTGGTTGATGGAAGATGGGAGGGAATTTCACTAGTACATAGATGCTTTATTGCTATTTAAGGAGTTCTCATTGATGTTTAACTACTTGCTAGGAACTGGAACATTGATGACATGAAGTAATTAGTCAAATTGCTGGTGATTTATTCATTGCTTATTTCGTGCCTTATCTGCATTCTTTTATCCTTTGCAGCCACATTATTGGTGTGTCTCATTTTACTGATGAACCAGCCCCGAGATGTTATGTAACTCTCCTACGGTCTTCTAGCTGGTGGGCCCATTCCTGTAGTCCAAATCGATTTGGTAGCAACGTTTAGCCTTAACCACTGAATTAAATTGATCCCGTATGCTAGGGCAAGTTTTTAGTTAGTGCCTAAATAGTGCAATCCTGGCCACACCTTAGAAATCCACTTGGCTTAAAAAACATATAAGTAAAATATACTGTCCGGACCCACCCTCTTAAACTGGTCGGGAGTGGTCCTTGGGCTTTAGGATTTTGTAACCTTTCCAGGTGATTTGAGAGTTCATCCAGGGCTGTGCTAATAAATTAGAATTTACGTTTTAACATGGCTTTATTTATGAACACGCTTAAATGCTTTTTGAAGGGAGGGATACATTACATTCTATAGTGATATTTGAAATCAGTTGGTTTTCCAAAGTCCTATTATATATCATTTATAAAGACTGCATATGATTTTAGTTTTAATGACCTACATAATCACTGAGCTATAATTTTGAGTATATCAGCAGGGATGCCAAATGCAATAGAATTGTGTTTCTGTAGGAGTGTATAGGAAATAGGGAGGTTTGTTTGGTTTGTTGTCTTTATACCCAGACAACTGGTGATTCATTTAATTGGTAGATATTCCTCATCGCTTGTCTACTTCATCTTTTGTGAGAAATTGTGAAATAAGATAGAGATTTTTGCCTATCTGTTGA